GGTTACATAATTAGGAAGTAGCAGAGCCAGGATTCAAGCCAGGGCAGTATGGCTTTAGAGCAGGGTTTCTCAACCTTGGAACTGCTGACATTTGGGGTTGGAAAACTCCTTGGTGTTGGGGGCTGTCCTGTGTATTGTAGGAAGCTTATCAGCATCTGTGGCCTCTACCCTCTATATGCCAGTATTACCCTCCCAATTGTGACAACCAAAAATGTCTCAAGATACTGCCAAATGTCCTGTGGGAAGCAAAATTGCCTTTGATTGAGAATGCATCTAGAGATTGTGCTTTTAAACACTATAGTGTATTGTGGCTTATATAGACTTAAATTCTCCAAGCTACATATTTAAATATTTTCATTGTATATAACCATGTAATAATATCCTAGCCTGTAATAAACTTGCTTCTTAGGTGATATTTACAGATTGTTTTCCCTCTTATTGGCAGCCTAAGCTATTAACATTATTTCAAACAATAATAATAATAATGGTAAACATATCAATGACAGAAAAGATAACTACCTCAGAATAATCTTTCAGAGATTAGAAATATGTGACTAGTAATTTCATTAAGGAGAAATATCATGTTAGCAAAAAAGATAAACAGAGAGTTTTGACTATATAATCTCTNAAAAAAAAAACACATATAAAACTGAGAAGGACCAGAAGCCTCCCAGTCTCCCAAGCCAGAGTGGTAGAGGGCCAAAGACCTCAGCCATGCACCCCAACATCTGCATCCAGCCCAGCAACGACCACCAGGCCAGCGCTGGAAGTGCCCTGGGCTCCCAAGCCGGGGGTGGGGTGGGGGAGGAGCTGCAAGGGCCTCAGCCACAACCCCCTTGAAGTCTGCATCTGGCCCAGCTGTGACCGAGCCACCGCAGAAGCCCCCTGGGTTCCCCTGCTCGAATGAAGGGGGTGTCACAGGCCTTGACCACACTCCCCCCTCCCTCCTTCCTCCTTCTCCCACCATATCCCCCTTCCTTTCCCCTCTCCCCCACCTGCTCAACATCTTAGAATGTAAAAAATAAATAAATAACTTTTTAAAAAATCCAAAAAAAAAAAACAAAAAAAAGTTAATGTGGAAAAAAATTGAGATTTAAGAATCCTACTTACCTTTTTAAACACAATAAAACTAAAAATAGTAGCATAAATAAAATTTAGGATGCAGGAGAATAGTTGGGAGATGGCTAACTGCACTAAATTCCTCATCTTTTAATAGTGGACAGTCAACTAATATTGGTTAATCAAGAAACACAAATATCATTATATGATGGGTCTTCAAAAAGTTCATAGAAAGATTGATATTATCTTTTAATTCTGTTATTCCATGAATTTTTTGAAGTACCTTCATATTATTAAGGATTACAGAAGATAAAAAAGCTTTCTGGTTTGAACATCATTAGGATTTATAAAAGTGATACAGGTTTTCAAGCAATAATATACAATTGCTACCTGTAGTTACAACTAAAGGTAAGAAATAGTTTTAAATTACTTTAAAAAATTCATCTCCAGTACTCCATCTTCCCAAAGAATCAAAGCTAAATATTACCTGTAAGATATGATCTCCTTTAGATGGTTGGTTAAGAGTTTTCCTCCCACATTTATCCTAAAGGGGAGAATTAAAATTTGGTTCAGTCATCACATATTTCATTCTGTTTCTCCCTAAGAAATAACATGAAAATTAAATGCAACTCACCGAATAATTGCTTCTTTTTTCTTTTTACTTCTACAATAAGGAACTATATGTGTAAAGGAATATCCACTATCTACAATGATACAACATAATTCGGAAGGATTATCTCGGAAATACCTATGTGCACTGAGAGCCCCAGCTAGTAAAAAAAAAAAAAAGATAAAGAAAATGAACACATTAAATAAAAGTATAAGATTCACTTAAAGTAATAAAGAAAGGTAGCAAACTAAGGCAAGCACAAAGACAAAACTTTTCCATTTAATTATTAGAAAAATATTAATTTATAATAATATTCCTGTCACAAGATCTTTGTAGTGTTTAAACTTTAAAACATCACACTTATGTGGTAAATAAGAAAAATCTGTGATCAGTTTTTGAAGGTAAATATTCATTTCATAGCTTTCGGTAATTATTACAACAGCAGTTAATTTTTACTGAGTATTTATTA